AATTCATTGCTTTGTGACGAATTTGTAATAATATAGTTGGGAGAATTAGGGAATCGATCAGATCAATTTTCCAAATTTGTATCATTAATAATGGTCTGTTTTCATTCAACTTTCAGATTATCTTTAATCGTACATGTAGCATTGAAGTCACTACATTAGCAACATTTTCTCTCATCTAAACAATGTTACCAAGTCCCTTGAAGACAAAGAATGAAGCAAAAAAGAATTACATTTTAAGAAGAAGAATTCAGAAATAATCTTGTTGAGGCATCACTCTTTTTATTGATGATATACATACATGTACATTTACTTACAAACACTGGTATGGGCGCCAGCTCTAGGTCTAGGACCTTGCTCCTGAGTCCTGTTTCTTAAAAAAAGGAGGAAAAGTTGAATAAATCTACCAGAAAGTAGAGCTACTTACACAATAACTGTTGTGGAAATACCCTTACACGTCTATGTCGATCGGATCAGTAACAAACCTTGTTATGACAATAACCCAGGGCTGAGATATCGTTATGCGATATTGCGCTTTAATGTAGCCAATGAGGAGCGTCGAATGGATCACGTGTGCGTAAATTATTTGTTACCATATGCACGCTTCGGCAAAACATCTATTAAACAAATCAAAAATAATTGAAACGATATGCACGGGGAGTAATACAATGCGCGTCATATACAATGGATGTTGATGTATTTACGTGACTATTGCTGCCGCGATCGTCTTTGTGCACACGTTATTGTTTATGACGGTTGCGCGGGGAGACATGTTTTCGCATTTGCTAAAGCCCCCATCACACCAATCTAGTTCTCACCGCCCTGGTTCAACTGTCAACGACCATTGACGGCAAAAATAACGGCAAGTGATGTCACATCTCGAACGGGCTAAATTTCTTATTATTTTGATGATTCCAGAACGAACTTTGCAGTAGGCCACCAATACTTATAGGCCGCTAGATGATCAACCTTTCTGATCGATTCCACAACGTTTCTTTCACAATGTAATCGCATGACCAGAACTGGTCTATACATTTAAGAACGGGTTTAACCCTAAAAAGGCCGGGCTTTTTGAGGTCTTAGTACGGCCGGGGGGGGGGGGGGGGGCATTATGCCCCCCCCCCCCCTATAAGATCTCGGCCGTGAAGCGGCCGATCTCCGCGAAAATTTGCACGCATGTCAAGTGAAGTGTATAGAATAATATGATAATATCAATTTTTGACATTTGCATATTTATGGTAATTTATGCAAAAACGGTCATAAAAATCACATTTTTACCCATAAATCATAAATTATTCATATTTAAGCATTGTCTTTCACTACATATATTCATTAGACCATTCTGAACAATAATACGACATTTTTTTTGGAAGAGCCAGCTTATTCCCTATGTTGTCCCTTGTTTTGTTAATTTCTTATGTATTTCATTTTTTTTAACAATTCAACTTTTTCGACTCCCAAAACAACCCCCTAAACTTTAAAAAAGACCCAATAACCCATGTTTGATCTTTTTTTAGGAATGTCGAGTATAACTTCGTTTTTCTTGTTGAAATTCTGTTCTCCTGGATCATTATTAGAGGCATTCAAGATAACGTCTTCGATATCGCTTATCACGTGATAGGCTGGCTGGTCACCGTCAAAGCGTTCATTGACTCTCGACTGCTTGAAAGAACTGACATTGGTAGTGATCATTGCAGAAAATGTGTGTTCTTCAGCGCTGTTTGAAGACGTTTTGGACTCTTCGTTGTCTCAGAAGGTAGGTTTTCCTAGCCCTTTCATATACCAGCTCGAATGACTTTCTCCGGGCTTTCCTAATTGCACTATTGTCGATCTGATTACGTGTGCAGTAATAACAGAATATTGTTCCACGCAGGCACAGATTCAGAGGGGGGGGGGGGGGGGGGGGGGGGGGGGGGGGGGTGGGGGGGGGGGGGGGGGGGGGGGAGGGGGGGGGGGGGGGGGGGGGGGGGGGGGGGGGGGGGGGGGATGGGGGGGGGGGGGGGGGGGGGGGGGGGGGTGGGGCGAGCGGGCCTAATTTCCCCCTGACCCCCCCCCCCCCCCCCAAAAAAAAAAAAAAAAAAAAAAATTGTGACCAGTACCCAAAAACCGCTCACTATGCTACCCCCCCCCCCCCCCCCCCCCCCCCCCCACTGAGTGAAAAATCGGATCGGCCAGCGTGATTTTCAAATTTTCGGGGTCAAAATAGAAGAAATAGTTTAGTGCTCACTACCCCCCCCCCCCCACCCCTCCCCCACTGAGCTAAAAATCGACCGGCGCGATTTTGAAATTGTCGGGGGTCAAGATGGACAATTTTGGGGTATACTGCTGATAGGTTGACTATCTGCTATTACCTTTGTTCAAAATTGATTGATTTTTTTTTCTTCATTTAAATTGGGATACAGTAGAGAAACAGACTTTAACGGCCCATCTGTTCCACATCGTCCGTGATTTTAAATAATGGATAGGTATCTTATATTCTCTTCAATGCATTTTATCTTAGTAAAGCCTGTCAGGGATTCAGTTCTCACATTGCCTTCTGTGTTTATGACAAAGCAACAATGAGTAAAAAATATAGTGGTCAGACCCAATAGTGGTAATAATAACATTCCGTGTGGTCAACTCACCTCAAATTGAAAGGGAAGTTTGAAAATCAGTGACGGGCTAATATACATTCTCAACCGAAATTATCTCTGAAATATCAATCGTACCATTTATTTAAAAATGCTCCAAAGAATGGCTTAAGTTTTTGTTTAAGGACCACCCTGGTATGATATACATGTACATTAGTCTTTTAACGATATATCAGCATCTTTTGACCGAATCTGCAGCAAGTTGTTTTGAAATGTTGTGTTTATCATTTCCCATTTGTATTCTGTATGTGTTATCTTTCAAAAGCATGATAGAACAAAAACAAATAACACACTATATAGTTGCTCAGTTCATTGGTTTCAATTGCTTTAATCCATTATTTTCCAATGCAATTTGAAAATGTCATTGGTCAACATTTTAATTACAAACCTGGACAGTTAAACAGAATACAAACAGATTATACATTCACATAAGTATCTAGGGTCAGTGGCGGTTGGGGGTGCTCATTCCCCTGGTAAAAGCCTTCTGATTTTGACTTATTTACTGAGATATGCATAGAAAGACATTTATTATTTCTGTAGTCAGATATTTATGACTAATATTCACTATAAAATTTTTATAAACATAGACATTTGTGTTCTATATATGTTATCTTCTAAAGGCATGATGCAAGAGAAACAAATAAACATACATGTATATGTTTTGGCCTCTCATATTTACAAAAAATACCTACTCCCAAATAGTATAAACCTTAATTAGACACTGACATTCATTATTTGAGGAGCTATTAAAAATGATGAAGAATTTAGTTTATGGTGCTGCTAAATGTTTACAATTTCCAGCGTAAACGATTTGTCATAATCACATTTTTGAAAAATAGATGTTAACATAGTATATACATAATGCCAATCAATATCAACAGTGTACAATTGATTGCATGAAGTTCAACTTACATAAGATATATAAAGCACATGAAATGACACAAAATAATTATCTTTTCTTTTCTTGGTCTCCCTCCCTCTGTCGTTCTCTCTCTCTCTCTCTTTCTCCCAATAAATGAATCAGATTTACATCTATTTGATCAGTTTGATATCAGGAGAACTGCCTAAGTATCGTACAGTGTAGCTGTAAGCAAGGCCTAACAATGATGTACGGTGTGACAATATTTTTCACGGATTGTGTGCATCTCAACATGCATGGTTTGTAATACATGTGCTATAGCAGCTTTAGACTCACGACCAGCAATTTCTTTCCATCAGATAGATTTTCCATGCACAGACCATTGTCTGTCAAATCACATAACAAAGGGTCTGATCAGCAAGACTGCACTCAATTGGTACTTCACTGTAGCTCTGTTCACGAGCTCCTGTTTACAGCCTGTGACTGACAAAGTACATTGTACTGGCATTGACATGACTCGTATATAATACAAGCTCAAGACTTTATGAAAATGCCAGGGTCAAAACATAGTCTCTCCTTGCAGACCACATGATGCCTCCAGCTGGACTATATTTTGCATGATGCGTCACTGCCGTCGCAACAATTTATGTGACAATTCTGCAATTATGTAAATAACATACATTAAAAAAATATGAATGATATCCTTCCTATGTCATGAGTCTCAGATGCCATTGGAATTCGAACCGTTGTCCATAATTTTGCAAGTGACAAGACAAACTATAGTTCATTGCAGAAACGATGGGTAGAGGTAATGTGCTGTGATGGTGATTGACCAAAAGTGGCATCTCGCTCACTGCCGAATGTAGATTTTGAAGATTAATGCCCTTTTTCTGTGAAGAGATGAATAGAAGAAGAAGGAAAAGGAATGAGTATTTGTAGTATAACTGTACATTTTGCAATATATTTCAATATTCTATCATCACCATCACCATCATTATCACCACCATCATTACCATCATCATCACCATCATCATCACCATCATCATCACCATCATTACCATCATCATTACCATCATCATCACCATCATCATCACCATCATTACCATCATCATCACGATCATTACCATCATCATGACACCCACCATCATCACCAGCATCATCATTATCACCATCACCATCATCTTATCACCAGCATCACCATCATCAACATCATCATCATCATCACCAGCATCACCATCATCAACATCATCATCATCATCATCATCACCATCACCATCATCAACATCACCATAACCATCATCAACATCATCATCAGCAACATCACCATCATCATCATCATCATCATCAACTCAATGATTATTGCAATCATCACCGCCATCATCATGATCACCACCAATATCACTACCAGTATCATTACTTGATTAATTTAAATCATTATCATGATGCCTGCCACTACCGTTATTCCCATTTTTATCACAGAAATCATCATTAACAAATTTCATATTCTTCCTTACCTATTGCATTTCATCTTGCACTGTCCAGTATCTATTTTCCAGTAACAAAGCCACGGACCACCCGCCAAAGAAGAGGAATGACACGAGAACTCAAAATTCCAAACCCCACGATTCCTAAGATTGACAGCACCACGAATATTAGGAAGAAGATAGAACTCCACGAATATCCGTCCGCCAAGACACTGAAGAAAAAAAATATACATGAGACCAATTATAGAATGACGAAATATTACAACATAAAACAATACACTACAAATAATGTGGTATACATACCAAACAGAAAAAAAGGTTTTAGAATTTCAATTCTAATTTTTGAAATCAATTTCTCAAAAGAAAAAAGACGAGATGAAAAGTAAAAAGTAAGCGTAGATATACATTTATTTATTTATTTATTATTATTTTTTTTTATTTATTTATTTATTTTTTATTTTTTTTTGGGGGGGGGGGTACCGTTATGCAATGCAATTTCCTAAATGTTGAAATAGCAGAAGAATCGTTTCTAAATATAATTAAAAGGTTATTGAGGATAAAAATGGGGAAGGGTTCGATTCCTCATAAATTCAATTCTGAGGGGGGGGGGGATATGGGGGAGGGTAAGGTGGATACACCCTATGCTAGATCTAGACTATAACGGTTCATGCTCCAATTTTCATTAATATTTTCTTACTCTCTAGTGACTTCGGAGAAGAACCGTAGTACTTCTCGATGTCCAGCCCTCATCGCTGCTCGGCACTCCTCAGCCATGCGTAGAATCTGTGGACCAAACTGTTGGTTGAAACTAGTCCGCATCTCTCGTAGATCACAACGAGTCCTGAAAATTAAGGATAAAAAGATTTAAAAAATAGTTGAGACCCATTTCACACTCCCATGTTAGATTGCTCTATTTATACTTGCATGTAAAAGCATGCCATTCACACTCCCTAGATGATACTCCAACAGGACGCTTTGTTTGTCTTCACACTCAGACTTCACATTAAAGAATTATGCTCTTAATCTGTTCAATTTGTGAATTGTGAGATATGTAGAGGCTATGAATCCAGTTTCATCATCCCTAAAAATATAAACAACATAAATAGGCCCCACTATATATCTACTTGCGCCCTCTATATAGCAAGCAATGCCTAATCAGTGACCGTTGGTCCCAGGGACGGATCCACGTAGCGATTATTCCGGCCCGCCCCCCCCCCCCTAGCCCCCCAAAACGATAAAAAAATAGGATAATAACCTTTTGAAAACAAAAAACAAAAGCACCCCCCCCCCCCCCGCTTATTCGCTGGCCGGTTAAGTCGGCACTAAATTTTGTATTAAGATTTGGCTACCCCCCCCCCCCCCTTGAAGCCGCCTGGATCCTCTTTTATTATTTTATTATTCTCTTAAATTATTATTATTATTATTTATTCGACCATAAAAACACATTCAGCATGTACAGTGTATATAGGTGTATACAGAGTGAAATAGGAAAAATACAAAGTAAGATAAAGAAGGAATAGCATGTGGGTCAGGGTGCACAAAAGCGAAATTCTTCCCTGTTATAGATCTCAAGACAAAGTCTTCATTCTTAAAAAATAAAATCTGAACAGCTGCCTACCTTTCCGAAAGTACAGGGGGGCTAGAGACGACTCGCAGTCCAGTCCCGGGTCCATTTTGCATTAGATCTCCCGCTACTTCATGGAAGATGGCCTCGAAGTCCTCTTCGTTCTGGACGGGTCGTTTAAACTTGACGTCTTGATCTCTGGCAAACCTCGACATCGACATGGTGGATGATACTATAATGCTGCTCTGATGAATGTCGTTCTGAAATAATAATGTATGTAATGTAATGTATAATAAAAATACTAATCCCAAAACTACTAGTTCCACAATTACTGACAATAGTATTCGCATAACAACAAAAGAGCGACAAACAATAACAACAGATATAATGATAACAGTTATAACAATAATAATAATAAATAGTGTTAATGAGGATAATTAAGAAGACAACAAGTAAACTACTACTACTACAACTACTATACAATAATATATACAGCAAACCAGAAGAATAACCATTATTATATCCCTCATGTATAGTTGTTTGCATTGCGATTGTACAGAGCACGAAAAAGGTATAGATAAGTACTATCTACCTGAGATAGGTCTGTAGTTGAGGGTGTAGTGAGCACTATTTTTTTTTTTTGGCCGGGGGGGGGGGGGGCACTTTCCCCCTGTGCCCTCCCCCCCCCCCCCTGGATCCATCACTGTAGTAATAACAACAATGATAATAATTCACAACACTATTTACCTATCATTAGAATGACTAGGTTTCAATAATCACAAGTAGATCTATGGGATATTATACCTCTGAGATTTTTCTGAACAAACGAACTTCTTAAATCTAAGTTTATCCTGAAGTAACATCTAACTGATTTTAAGAAAAATAATTAAGACAACAAAATTCAATTTAAGGTTTTTGAGCTAGCTAGGCCTAGATCTAGGTGTCACTCTTTTTCCTTGTTAATATAAATATATGTGCATTTGCTTACAAACACTTGTATGGGTGCCACCTCTAGGTTTAGCAGTCAGGACTTAGCTCCTGTTCTTTAAAAAAAGGAGGGTTATCCTATATACTTTAGGGTGTTTTATTATTTTCGGTTCCTAACTTCAGTCAACACTACAGCTCTAGATCTACATGGAGTCGGGCTAACAAAAACGGTCATATTGTGTCATTTTACCCTAGCTCTAACCCTAACTCTAACCCTAACCCTATCCCTAACCCTAACCCTAACCCTAAACCTAACCCTAAACCTAAACATGCAAAAACTGACCGTTTTTTGTACCTGGGCCGAGTTGTCCCCTGGTCCGAGTTAGCCCGACTCCATGTAGAGCTGTTGACTGAAATTCGGAACCGAAAATAATGAAACACCCTAAAGTATAGGATGACCAAAGGAGGAAAAAGGAGGACAAGTTGAATAAATCTACCACAAAGTAAAGCTACTTACACAATAAATGTTGTGGAAATACTCCAACACGTCTGATCTGCGCGAGTGTGAGAGAAGGTTATGAAGTCAAGTGTCAATCGGATCAGTAACACAACTCGTATTGACAATCCAGGGCTGAGCTGAGAAGCTCAAATACCCCTCGCACAATATCAATGGGGGAATTCCAATGGGGAGTTTCGTGTGGGTTATACCATAGACCTACCACCAGTAACCTGCATTATTATGGAGCATATCGCTGCTCTGGTGGTAGGTCTATGGTTATACAGGGTATTCCCATAGCCTTCTGCGTACGTACTAGTAGTCTGCTGTCACAAACACTTATCAGTCATCGTGGTGTGAAACAGAGTGTCTGACTTGAGAGACTATGGAGGCTGTACAGTCTACTCCACTCCATAGGCTATGTAATGTTGCTACCCAAGGATCCCGTCTTTCAAAAAGGATGAAATTAATCGTAACTGATTTTCCATTGAAAATGATCGATATCAATCGCAACTATGTACATAATTGAAATTAGGAGCCTGTAAACTTGCGATTCGCTGGAGGACTTGCGATTGATTTGGATCAATTGAAACTCTTTATAAGATGGGGCCCGGATCTCATAGACTGACAGAGCCAGGCGCGCGGTTTGATTCCTTTATGGAATCGTGTTAAAGTTTCTAAATCGAGTCTCTGCCTGCAGACTACTTTTTAATAGCCCTATCGTACGTGTTGGGAAGACGTTTTACGAGGTCTTTGTGACATCAGGGCTAAATATAAACCGGGAATATAAACAGGGAATTCCCCTAAAATGACGTCAGAAGACGTATTGGGACTGGGTGACAGGTGACCGATAAAAACAGAACAAAAGCAGATCACAAGTGCCAAAAAACATAGAAATGTAATATGGGGTGATAGGAACAACGGGATGAACAGCTAGAACAGAAATTCATCATTCATTTACATTCGTAATAGTGTGTGAGTGTGTTTGTGCGTGTTTGGGTGGGTGTAGGGGGGGGGGTGTATCAATGAAAACATTATCCAGTTTTGACTATCCTCTCACGCCGCCGCCTGGATCCATCAGAACAACTAAAACAAATAATTCTAATATGGATAGAATCGTTGCAGTATTCATTGTGGGAAAACTGTAAGAGAGAAGAGTTGCTATATATTTACTTACAGCCAAACGTATACAAATTAGGCTCTATAGCAAAAAGTTCGTTCGCATTTAGCAAACACGAATTTGTGTATGGGATCATCAACTTGCTATGTGTGGAAAGGCGACGGATTAGTCTTCATGTCACACGCCATATAACTATTATGAAATACGAAATTTACAGTGGTCCGGGAGTGGGAAGGCTGGATTGAGACTATTGTGGTTAAAGCTCCCAAAGTATGAAGAAACCGTGTGTCTGCACGCAATTTGAAAAATCGTGCTATTCTGCATTCATACAATATAGATCAATCTGCCTTATCCACTAATTCCTTGGACTTTGCCACCACTTATGATATAATGTGCCCTGTCTAGGTTTGTTTCTCTATAAACTGTTTTATGTTACTTTGATAAACAAAGTACCTCGATCAGACGTGTTTGAAACAAAGGATGATTAACATGATGGTAACTATGTGTTTTCTTTTAATGCAAGGACAACGCCCCATAGAAATCATTTTCGGATTATGCTACATATCAATTTGTGACAAACAAGGCTATAGAAAGTGTGTTAGCCTTAGGTTAATTTTTCGAAAGAAATTGTTATCGTCATGATCGTGTTATATAGCCTAAGGGGAGATCTTATGAGGGGGTTGCCTAGTAGAACAAGTAGAATAGTGCTCCAGGGAGGGAGGGAGTGCGAGAGGTAGAAAGAGAGAAGAAGAGAGAAAGAGAGAGAGAGAGAGAGAGAGGGAGAGAGTGAGAGGGAGAGGGAGGGAGAGACAGAGAGAGAGAGGGAGGGAGGGAGCGGGGGGGGGGGGGACGTGAAAACAAGATTAAAAGACATAGCCTACCTGTAGGCCTATTTCCTAAACTTCGTAGACATGGAGAAAAATCCTACATTACATCCATTCGCCTACTTTCATGATTTTACTGAAAATCAATTCATATAGGGCACATGGTATGTGCAGCTGACAGGCAAAGCGAGGGCGAGGGGGGGGGGGGGGGGCGAGATGGACGGGGTGGTTATTCCGCAGCTGCCCTTTGATCTCGAAATTGCTCTGAAATAGCACCTATCATTTCTTCGCAGAGGCCGACGATTACGAGTTCCCTTATTCATTCTTGGTTAATAATTAGCAGAGTCAGCACTACAGTAGTCTAGCCGATTTAATTTCAACACTAACAATGCGAACCCCCCCCCCCCCTTACATACCCGCTGCCAGCCGAAGATGGCGTGATCCTCGAATTAGGACTCTCGGCAAAAAATCTTGGTAGAGGATAGTAAAATCTTAGGCTGAGCTTTCGAGTTCGTTGATAACGCCATCTTCGGCGGATTGCAGCGAGTCTCGGGAATATTAGAGAGATAAATGCAAGAACCGGCCAGATTCTAGACTACACTTACAGTCACTTGACTGACTAGAAATCTAAAAATATCCATGACGTCATAAGCCAAATATATTACAGATATCCCCGGCCCCCCCCCCCCCCCCCCCCCCCCCCCCCCCCCCCCACTCAGAGGTCAGAATGACCGCATGCGTGTTGCCAAAATGTCCGGGAAGCGTTATTTTTTTATGCGGCACAGATTGGGGCTTTTTTTAAAAAGGGGTCTTGATTTACAGACTAATAATGGTCGTGTGCGTACTAGTAGTAGAGGTCTGTTTTTAAGAGTGTTTAAAGGGAAAGTCCACCCTGAAATTAAGTTAGTTTTAATAGGAGTAGAAAATGATAGAAACAAGTCAGTGAAAGTTTGAGCAAATTCCGATTAAAAATAAGGAAGTTAGGATTTTTTAAGTTGTGATCAATCAAACACAAATTGGCAACTCTATGACGTATCATGCGAGCTCAACTTCCATTTGCTTAGTACTAAAAAAATCTAAAATTTTCATTTTCCCTCAAGAAAAATTTCAACCATAGTGCACCCTAAATATAATAATTGCAAATATGTTGCTATACTCCCCCTGCAAGGAACAAATATATATTCCGTCATCAATAACGAAGAAAACATGATTTTATGGAATATTATGCACAAAGCAAATGAAGGAGAGCTCGTATAATAAGTCACAGAGTTGCCAATTTGTATTTGATTGATCACAACTTCAATAATTCATAACTTTCTTATTTTCATTCAGAATTTGCTCAAACTTTCACTCACCTGATTTTCTTATTATTCTGCCTCTATCGAAACAAACTTATTTTGGGGGTGGACTTTCCCTTTAATGTAATCTACTACCGTATGGAAAATCATTACATCAACAATTAAACTGAAATTGGAAATCTGAAGAGGAGGCAGCACGTCAATAAGGAGAACATCACAATAATTAGTCAATAAAACTTAACTAATTTAAACGAAGAGGAATGTTATCTAAACACATAGTTCGCGATATGGATATTCAAACTTCTTCACAGCGTTATGCGCTTGCGAACATGACTAGTCTCACGTACGTGCAGACACTATTCAGAAGGGAAAGAACGTACTTCCCATAGGTTCAACACGCACCATGCCCCAATCTGTGCCGCATAAAAAAATAACGCGTCCGGTAAAGGGGTACTTTTCGTGCGACAAAGTCCGGCCCGAGAATTGTATAAAAAAAAAGGGGTGTATTTGACTTTTCACCCGGAGATTTCTTTAAAAAGGTTTTTTTTTTTTTCCTCTCATCTCTGTGGACTCCTGAGAAATTATTCCGAATTTAGGGGGGTACATTGAGCATTTTTCCTGATTTAGGGGGGTCTCCAAGGCAGGAAAAGCCCGCGAAAAGCCCGCGAAAGGGGGGTTCAGAAATGTTGGCAATCCTCAGATAGGGGGTGCTTTCAAAAAGAGGGTACGAGCATATGCGTACCCTAAATAACACTGAGTGGGGGGGGGGGGCGGGCAGATATCAAAGTCCACGAATAGTTGCAATAATTTTGTTTACACAAGCGAAGCTATATGGAAGAAGACCTCCACGTATTATTAAATGGGACAATATTATATTCTAGATAAAGTGTCTGTGTTCTCAAACGTTTGATAGTCGATCCAAAGCATCTAAATCATCAATCATCGTTAAAGCTTTAAGAAGATATCAACTTATTATGAAAACAAATATTGTCACAATCAGTTCACAAATAGAGGTGACGGAAAATTATTCCAACTTTTTATGGAGCAACAGTGTTTTCACATAAGATACCAGGGGCGGATCCAGAATTGTATAAAAGGGAGGGGGTGCTCTACTCTAGTTGAGTATCTGGGCCAAGCTTGTGGGAGGTGGTAGAGGTAGAGATCTGGGACCCGTTTCACAAAGCCCTTTTTCAATGACAAATGACAACAATCAGTGACAAATCTGCTGATAACCAATCAGAAGCAAGGATTTCAGTAGCTTATAACAAAACTGTCATTTGTCACTGATGACAAATTTGTGAAACGCCCCCCTGTAATTCAACGGGAATCTTCCCAGTCGTCTCCAGACTCTCCCCAGGTTCCTTCATTGGGCAGAGGAGGGGGGGGGGGGGGGGGGGATGGGGGGGGGGGGATTACAAAAAGAGAGATAGTATTTGTTTCGATTTACTTATTACATTTCGAAGGGAAATTTAAAGGGGGGTGGTGTTTTTATAGTAAAACGCTCACGTTGGTTCTGTCATTAATGTATTTATTTCATTTATTTCTTTATTTTATATCATATTAAATATATTTGGGGGAGGAGTAGGGGGGGGGGGGGGGGGGAGGTGGGCGGTTCTCCATTAGTGCATGCCTCACGCAATATCCTAGCAAATTGCCACGCATTCTGAAACACGGTGGCATAAATATAACATAATACGTCATCGTCACGTTAGTCTTTCGATCTCACGATAATAGTCTACCAACACAGACCGTATGAAGACACGTACCAACTTTCGCATCTAGTCGTCTTCATTCAAGGCTTCATTCAGCGCCAAATTCATGTAGGAAAATAAAGAAATGCAGAGCTATAGACAAGGTTGAATCTAGAATCCTTTAAAGGACACGGGGCACAATTCAGAAATTCTCGGAAAAGTAAGAACTAAGTGAAATAGATAATAGTGAAGATATTGATTGATGAAAGTCAACAACAAGAACGATTTACAATACTGTTTCATTGAAAAGGTTTTCAGATTTGTGAGTGCCTTTTGGTCTAGGATT